TCCCAGGCCCCTGCACCTTGGGAGGATTTCTCTATTCTGTTTTCGGGACAAACAGGGAAAGCTGGAGGGTCTGCTCTGGTTTTCATTCAACATTTGGGCTGAACAAGCAAGCCCACTACAGCCGGCCCCCAGCCCTCAACACGGGAGGCCAGGAGGAGCATAAGGCTCAAAGCGGTCTCTGCAAAGTGTCCCATGCCCAGTGCCCTATCAGCAGGGGAGGACATCCTAAGAAGGCAGAATGTCCGAGATGCAGCCTCCCAGGTAGTCTGTGGAGATCTGGGGCATAAGGAAAAGCTGCCTGGGGAACCTCCTGTCTCTCCCCAGGTGAGCATCTCCACCCCCCCTCCCCGTCTACTTAACCCCCTATCTGCCCCCTCTTCATCAAAGAGCTGCCAGAGTTAAGGGTTCAACTGTGAGACTCGGGCTCTCCTTCAACACTGCAGGCGACCCCAGCACCCATCTTCCCAAACCGTGGGATTTAATCACGTTAGACGGTGGAGGTGAACGCGCTTTGTAGATTTCAGGATGCCAGGCAAACTAAGTTGTCGTGACCATCGTCAATTTATCATTAGCAACGCAGCCTTTCGATATGGAAGGCCGTTAAGGATGACCGTTGAACGTGTGTATGCCTCACGGAAGTCTTTGAGCCGGCCAAAAACACAGCCGGGACCCTCCAGTGAGTTCTCATCTCCCCACCGTGTTGCAGCCACGCCTCCCCTCCAGGAGGACATGCACACCCAGACAATTCGCCGTTTCCCTAGTTGGTGCTTTTGAGCCCAGCCCAGTTTCTCCCAGACCCTCTCTCAGGTCCTTACTGTTGCTATTTGCAAGGTTAATGTTGTAAGATGTTTCAAAGATTGACCCAGGGAGCGCCTCCCGGCCAGAATAAGAACTATCAGGCACTACACAAGCAACTCTGTGCCTCATTTTCCCCTCACGTGCAACCCTCCTGGTCAGCCATCCCCACACCCTGTCAACACACACACACACACACACACACACACACACGCACACGCACACGCACACTGATACTGACCCACACACGTCGTGACCACCCCAATCCAGGGGACCTGGCGGGCTGCGTGCTTTCTTAATTGACTCATTTTTGTTGTAAACAACAGTCCTTTTCCCCTTCGGTATCTAAATTGAGTCTTCAAGCAGAAGGCATGAACTGACCAAGAGGACTTCCGTAAGAGTAAGGGTCTCACCCTATGGATTGCCGTGGGGTTGCTTCTGCCATGCAAACACATGGCTATTAAAGATACAAATCAAAGATTGAGAAACAGAACCATTTTATTCTCCGGATAAATAAGTAAACCCTAAAGTTGTCCCCATGCCTGAGTATGATTTATGCATTTATTTCTGGCACACGTTCCATTCATCAGGGTGTGTTTTCCTGGCTTTTCGAAGTTTCTAGAGGGCTCTGGCATCTGCCATCACAAAAACTACCCAGACGAGTTTGCAAAGATACGGCCGTGAGTCCCGAGGCAGAGAGAAAAAAAAAGACCACTGAGGGCCAAAGCATGTTAAAATTTCTCACTTATCAAGTGACTTTCTGATGACAGCCTAAGTAACAACCACTCCAGGATACCCCTTCCCCGCCCCTCTTCCTCCCTCCCCTTAGCCAGTGAATAATTTGATTCCTTGTAACTTTACGGCTGAAACTTTATCACTGTCTGGTTGGTTGGTTTGTTTTCAGCCACGTCCAAGTGTATGCGCAACTTTTTCTAACAGGTCTTTTCCGCCAGACTCAACATTTTGCACACAGGGGAGGAAAGCGTTTCCAGCTCTGTTGCAACAGAAGCTGCACACAGCACAGGACAGACGCGAGGGCATCTCCTACCTTCTAGCGTGGAGAGCTGCTGTTCGGCTTCTAGATACAACTGGGAGAAGACGGGCCTGGGCACCAGGCTATTGGACCGCAGCGAAGCCTCGATGGAGTTGTGCAAGACCTCTTCGAACCGCGTCGTCTTCAGCTGGCCGGCGTACGAGTTTCCCATCTTTAGAGAGGACGACGGAGGCTGCTGTTTAAAAGGGCATCTCAGTGTCAGTTAAAGAGACTGACCCTGTGCACGAAGCCCAAAGGCAGAGGTCGACCGCTTGAAGGGGCCGTGGATCCCCCGCTCAGCAAAGAGGAGAGGGCGGCTCTCAGCCGCAGCTACGGCCGGGCGTTTACAGGAAGTTGGATAAGCAACAGCTTTCTCTAATTTAGCGCTCAGATAGCAGAGTCTGACACCTCTTAGGATATTTTACTAGAAATTGGCTCCTCGTCATCCCTGGCTTCCCAGACCCCCGGCTTTTCCCTGAGAGGTGATCCTGCCCCCCCCCCACCCCCGCCAAGAGAGCTCAGACAAACGATGGTTTATTTTCCTTGACCTCCAGAAGAACAGCCCTGCACCACTTAACGCATGGGACGGCAGCTGGCAATTCCATGACCCATGGCAACTAGTCTCCAGATCTGAGGATTCCAAGACCTCCCCTCACCTTCTGGGAGGGCGGGCTAGCAGCTTTCCCAACATTGCCCTTTTTTGCTAAAAGGCCAATTGTTAACATTCTCCCTTTAAAGTGTTTTTGTAGTTTATCAATACTTCCATTACCCAAGTAATGCAGACTTAAATCTGGGAAACCTGGAAATTACAGAAGAGGGTGGAAAAACCATAGGAAAATCACTGCTTTTCCCATTCCCCAAGATGACCACCGTGATTTTTTTTTTTTTTTTTTTTTTGGCAGCGTAAGCTAGTATTCACATGCATGCCATTCACCCACTTAAAGTGTACATCTAGTCAGTGTGGTGCAAACATCACACGATCAACTGTAGAACATTTTCATCGCCCCCAAAAGAAACCTCATACCCTTTAGCTGTCACTCCTCAATCCCCACCCCTCCCCCCCCCCAGCCACTAATTTACTTTCCGACTTTGCAGATTTGCTGACTGTGCAAGTTTCACAACAATGGAACCCTCTGGTCTACGTCTTTGGGGACCGGCTTCTTCCAGTTAGCGCAATGCTCCCAAGGTTCTCGCGTGTTCGACACCCCGTTCCCACTGTGCTAGGATGACGTACTCTTTCTGGACTTCATTTTCTTCACGAGTGGGGGGTAAGAGGGAGAGGGGAGATGGCATTGACATATTCAATGACGACATTTTTGATTCTGCATTTTTCCCTTGACATAAGCATTTTATTCGATGCTCTTACAAATGCTCTGAAAATAAAGGTCATGGCTACCTCATATTCCGTTCCGTGAAGGTGCGGACATTTGCTCAGACACCTCTCTCGGATCATACGTGGTAAGCCTCTGTGTGTATTTAGTGCTTCCCAAGATCAGCATTTAAATTCATATTCCTTCCTCAAGCTGCCGTTCATTTTCTATGGCATTAAATTTAGGTTTCTGTTTCCTCTTGGCTTACTCTGTTGTACTGTTTCCAAACTGCTTTTAAATGATCACTTTGTTATCGTCTTTATTTTCCACCTCCTTTAATAATGAAACCATTTCGGGCTACATATTTTCCTCTGGAAACCTCTTTTGCTATGGCTTCGTAGGGCTTGGTATAAAGTGTTCTCCTTTTCATTTTTTAGACACCTTGCAATCTCCCTTTTGATTCCCTCCTTCATCAGGCAATTATCTAGGAAGGTATGCTTAATTTCTAAATAGTCACGATTGGGGGTGGTCAGCCTTCTACTATTTGTAATTTTTATTGGGTTGTAATCATGACTGTGGCCTTTAGAAACTCTGCTTTCAAAATGTCACAGGTTTCTTTTTTTTAATGTTTGTTGATTTTTGAGACAGAGAGAGACAGAGCGTGAGCGGGGGAGGGGCAGAGAGAGAGGGAGACACAGAATCGGAAGCAGGCTCCGGGCTCCGAGCTGTCAGCACAGAGCCCGACGCGGGGCTCTAACCCACGAACTGTGAGATCATGACCTGAGCCGAAGTCAGACGCCTCAACCAACTGAGCCCCCCCAGGTGCCCCTACAGGTTTCTTTTTAACGGATACCCGATGGATTTTTACAAATAGCCTACGACTATGAGAAGAGAGATGTATAAACTCTCTAAGGGAGGAAAGGAGATAGATTACCCAGTTCTTCTCTATCCTTATGTATCTCTTATCTACTACGCTGTTGATTTTCAAAGCAGCGTCTGACTTAAAAAACAGCCCCAAAAATAGCGTCAACACGACCACAGGACGGTAGCTCCTGCTTCGTCACAGGGATGCAACCCTAGTTGTGAGACCAGCCCCACAAGCCAGGCACGACCGCACACATCAATCACTCTGACTCAAGACGCGTAAGAAATGCTCCCTCATTCGGGCGGCGAAGTCATCTCAAGATGGGGCCACTGGTGCCCCTCTGAGGGCTCTGGTTTCCCTCCTGAAGACAAAATGGGTCAAACACTCACACTGATTTTCTGCCTCTCTTGCAAGGAAGGTCCAGCCTTTCCTCTTCCAACTAAAAGTACATAAAAACCATTAAACGCTTCCTGCTTCTAGCAATAATCCCTAACCACAGGGCCCCCTGGTCAGCCCCTGCTTCCAGCCTGGGGCAATGAGGCATCGGAAGGACTGCGTCAGGAATTAGCCCCGGACACAGAGAAGGCACTCCAGAGAGAGAAAGAGGTCAGCTGCCAGAGCCCCTGAAGAGCCCACTCGCCTGGGTGGGAAGGGGCTCCAGGGTCCTCGTGTCTGCCTTCTTCCTTGACCCGACGCACACCTCGATACACAAAGGAGGGGTTACTGGCCACATTTGGGGACGCTTGTGTTATTTTCGAATCGGGCGGTCTGTTTAAAGCTGCTGCCCGTGAATAACCTCACAAATGCCCGTTTCTATAGATCTTTGTCTGAAGAGCTTAAGGCACACAGAAAGGAGATTTGAGCCCATCCCTTTTTACATGGCGTCTCTACAGAACCATGCTCGATGATCCAAAGAACACGATGGAGGCGTCCAGACCCCAGCACCCTCCCAAGGCCCCTTTCTGCTCACCTGACAGGGGACAGGCACTCCGAGCCCAGAGGATTCCACCGGTTATCACAGATCAATGCCTAACGTGAACGGAGCCACGAGGAGGAGGGAAAGGAACACTCACTGTCCTGCTACTGAGTACAAGGCACGTTCGGTGGCCAGGGGAGGGATAGTATGAAGCCCATTCTAAATAAAGATGGCAAATTCAAGTCTTGGAGAGGATACTCACCTGAAGGAACTCTTGTTCAAAGAAAAGAAGAGAATTGGGGTGGGGTGGGGTGGGGGAGAAGGAGCAGGCAGGGAAACGGAGGAGGGAGGGGGAGAAACACAAAATGAACCAGGAACAGCGGCACAGAAAAGTTTTCACACTCAGAAAAATGGAAACTTTTACCGCCCTACGCAACATCGAAGCTTTAATGTCTAGAAGCAAATGGAGAGGAAGTGTACCCCGTGCCCTGTGGGATGATGCATTTGAAATCCTAGGAAGGAAACGCCAGCAAATGAGGATGGAGAAGGAGCCCGGAGAATCGAAGGAAAATCGTGTGGCCCTTTCGTCAGTGGCCGGGGGACCACTGTTGGACGGGGTGGGAACTCCCCAGGGCAAAGCTCCAGCTCACAGACAAAACCACCTGCCAGGTGAGAGGCTTTGGGAGGGGAGGACACAGCAGGCTGAGGTGGGGACACAGCTGGAGCTCTCTGGCCTGTTAGAAGTGTTAGAATCCGGCCCCCTCGTGGGGGGACTGGAGAGCCCCAGTTTGGCTCAGGGTCAAACACAAAAGCTGAAATCTCCCGCCACCCCAGGCGACAGGGTAAAGGGCCCCGGGGCTGTGGTCTCTCCCTGCTCCCTCCCGGTGCAGGTCCTGCTACAGCTACCCCGGGCTACGAGCTGCAGGGATTTCTTCCACACCCTGGACACATCACCCTCCACTGCCTGCATTCCAAGGCCTGGCCCACTTCCTCCCGATGCGGGTGCACGACGCTCCTCAAACCCCAGAACCTGAACCGCGGCCTTTACCATAATGCAAAGGGGCCTGGCTGCGGCAGAACAGGCAGCGCATGCGTGACCCGAGCAAAGTGTTTGACTCACTGGGCCTCAATGTTCTCATCTGTAAAATGGGCACTCTGAAGCACTGACCGGCCGGTCATTTTGGGGAGTCAGAGAGGCACAATACGTGGACAGTGCCTAGCACAGCACCTGGCAGGCAGTGCGCGAGCATTCACTTCCGGCTAAATCTGAATATTCACCCGGGAAGAATTTCAGATCGGAAATGACAAGTGACGAAGAACGCGTGAGGCGTTAGGAGGGAATCAGTGAGAACTTGGGCCAAGGGGCCGGTACTCAAAAAGGAAGAGGAGGGTATTTTGGTGGGATGGATTTGGCAAGATAGTTTAAGACGGGGACAAGAGGGTACATGGAAAGGAAAGCCCGATGAAGACAGACAGGCTCCTGGAAAAGGAGTTGATCTTACAAGTAGTAAATGGCTCACAAGACGGCACCGTGCGAGAGGAAAATCAAAACTGAGGGTGAAAATCAGACATCGTTTTCGTAGGTAAGTCCCTGAAACCTCAGAGCTAGGGATTTATGGTGACGAACGTGGCGTTTTAGGCCGGCCAATCAGACAGAGAGATGTTTGGGATACAGCTGGAGGCCTTGCGCATCTGCTTGTTTCTAAGACTAAAGCACAAACAGTTGAAAACTCTGTGCCCAAGGAACGCCGCTGCATGGCTGGTGGGCCCTAGTTCACCAAGTCAGCCTCAAACAGAGTCAGTTCTACGTCAGTTCCAGTCCCAGAACTAGTCCTGCACGTCCACTGGCTCATCAGACCCCAGGAGCACCTACGAACTTGACCAGATGAATGAAGCAGACTGATCTTCAGCGAGTCCGGAGTCACCAAGGGATATCTGGGCACGTTCTCAATGGCCGAGACACCTATCCCAAGCCATTCTCCTCTCCTGGCACCTGTAAACCAAGCAGTGTCGTTGAAAGCATCCGGTTAGAGCAGCAAGCTCTAGTTTGGGTTGAAGTTCAGTGAGAACAAGCATGGGGC